GGACAAACTGAGCACATAGACAATGCCTTTGAATGAGGGTAAATGCTCTTCTAACTGGGTGCGGGTACATATCTCCTCCTTGGCTGATCTTCTTCCACTTCAGAAATGCATTCAAACTTGTCGAATCTGATGATTAGGTGAACAGAGTAGAGAACTTAAGAAAAACGGATTTGGAAATCCCATGTAGGCCCGACCAATCAGTATTATTCAAGTTAGACTGTCATATTTTGATCCAGACTCTCCATTGAACTGCCTCTTTTCCTAGTTCTCCGAACTGCAGTACTGTGTGGACCTGACCAAACGCATAGCAGACGTGGTGAAAAATGTTAATACGGTGATGTTACCAATTGACTTTACTTTGGGCAAAATGCATCGTGTTGAGTGTCACAGAAGGGGTATTAGAAGTGCGTTGATGTCACACATGCTTTAGCTAACTTGGTGGTCTTCCTCACATTCCCATCTGAAACAGTGTCATCTCACACCTTCACTGCCTCTATCGAAATGACCCTATCATTGGCCACTACCGTAGGGCGCTCCAAAAAGTGTTTACTCATCTCCCCGTATTAATATGATACAAAATTATACATAAGAGGACACTTTGTAATAGCCATCCAACGTGATAATGATAGGGACGATATCGAAGGGTGGAAACTGGTTATCATAAGGGAAGAGCGGAGATGGATGTGTGTGAAGGGACTATTTTCTGATGTCGATGTCATTACTAATGTAGGGACTAAATGTAACTTTGTCCTTATAAGTCTGCTTAGTTAAAACAGTGGTCAGGAAACAAAAGTTGCATGTACTTCGATAGGATCCACTGTTTCCAACCTCGAAGTGTAAAACTGTCTGCCGAAGGGAGCCAAGTAAACTTTTGCTGATTTTATTGGTTGACGCAAGACAGGTCACCTTAAATTGCTATCAAAAAATTTGTATGATTCGACTCTGACAAAAATCTTTTAGGCAATTAGAAAGAGAGCTCATGTAGGGCATAAGTCCTGGGGCAAGTGCAGACTCAGCAGCTCTGTGAAGGTGGCCACTTAGATTTGCCTACAACTCGAGGTGTCACAGAGCTGCTCAACTTAAGCGGTGATTAAAAGGAAAAGAATGCTATAAGTGAGTAAACAGAAACTGGATCTCAGCAGACTTTCGTTTGTTATGCATTAATACGAAAAACCCGTTTTGCTTTGGAGTACTTAGGAGGACTTTTGCTCTTGTAAAAGCCGAATGTAACCTGACGGTGACAAGATTTGCCCTTTGTTGAGAAGTTACAGCTCTGCAACAAACGTAATCGCAATTTTTATCTCACGGTTGCCAAAGGAACATACCCAACTACCCTGCAGGCGAACACCGAATCTAGCGTCACAAAATATAAACAAACATTTTCCATACACATGCGCACAAACGCAACCCGGTAAAAGTGATTTATGCAGCCTCTAGCAAGACGATTTCCCGTGTTTGCTATGAATTGAGTGATGATTGGTTATACGGACAAATTATTGAGGTGGACCCTTCTTTACGTTTTAATATGATAGAATGGAGGAAGCCTTTTGGATGTTCCCCTTGTCCGTCACCGGCGTAGGAGTTAAGCTTTTCAATCATTCGCTTTTAAGTCCGTCCGAATAATCCGTTGACCAGTCATTTACCAATGGCATTTGTGAGGTGCAGCAAGATGGCGCTTTGTGTGAGTTGCTAGACTGTTCGTTGTCAATACCACCTCTTTGAGATAAGGACAACTCCCGTAAAGAGAGTTGACGCACCGCATGTTCAGCACGCTCTCAGGCGTCGCTTCGATAAAAGCGTCTCATTGTCACTTTCTTAGGTCAGTGTCACATGGGATCCGACTGAGTGTAATGGTTCGCTTTGCAAGCTGATAGAAAGATGGATTTCAGTATGATGGTTACCGATGAATTAATGGAGGCGCCATATCCAGAGTGATTATGGAAACAGTAGGAATCAGATTTGCCTCCACATACACCACTAGAATGCAAAGCTTAAAGGGCAAAATAAGGTCAAATCCAACCTGCTATAATAGATGTACGGAAATGTCCCTTTGCTGATTCGTTCAACTGAGTGGTAAAATTGCACTTTTTAATAGGTTAGAAAGTTGCCTTGTGTACTTCAGCAAGGCATAATCCAAATTCTCAGGTGAAAGCAATAAGTAGATGAGTGCTTTGACAAAATCTGTGTAGCTCATTTACAATCATTTTTAAATCATTCAACCAAAAAACGAAAAATTAAAGTTTATTGCAAAGTTGTTGAGCACCAAGTTTACACCTACTCAGACTCTCTCGAATGCTATTTTACCTCCGCTGATGTGCCATCGGCAATCCTTGGTAGAACATCGCAGCTGATATTGCACGATATAACATTACGACTTGTAAAGGTCAACGAAACCCATCGAGTCCTCTAATTAATAAAGTATACTCTATTATTGCCTCAAAATGAGAAGGCTAACACAATCTCACCCACACATACCCATGAATACGCATTCACAGGCAGACAGACACAGACATAGGAACACGAACAATGAAAGAAGAGAATTTGGTGTGTGTTCTTCTCTTCCATATATTTGTGTATGACAGTGCATTGTGCCATCCGCAAGGCCGTACACTGTACCAATTGACAGGTAATAACGAAAGGTGGGTGCCAGATGAGTATAACAATTGAGCAAGAGTAGGAGAAGCCGATCGTTATCACACTTGGATTGTACAGGCACCTACGCTATTGAAGACGAGGAGGTCATCAAGGACACTGCCAGTGGCTGCAAAAAATGCATTATTGGTGCTACTACAACGGAATCTTTGCACTAACAGTTACATCTAGTAGTGTAATCAGCCTACTAAATCCCGTCATCACTAAGTGTCAATCTGTCAGTCACGTTTCCTTAAACAAAATTTGTACTCATTACCTCATTCTTTAACTCTAACACTCACCTGTCGGTACCAATAAGAAATTCTAAGCTACACCCCTATTCCATCAATTATTTGGTTCGGTAAGACCACTGAATCCCTTTCAATTGTCATTTGTTTGCGCCTTACTTCATATAAATTAATGCAAGAGAGGAATGCTACCTTAAGCCGTTAGCTATCCAGCTATTCGGATCGTAAGTAAGAAATGCAAAAAGGGTTTTGTCAAATAGAAGTCATTGATTCCCTCTTTTCAGATGACTATGCCAAATGGGAGTAGAGACACAATGTTCGCATCAGGAAACCTGATGCTGTTTCTCTACATCGATTCCTTGCAGTTAAGCCTACCCACTTCCATGTCATCTACTGTTCTCGGCAAATAAGTGTCCCGCAGTCTTAGTAAGTTAAAAGGAGCTGAAAGTTAAACGAAGCGTTCTTTTGCTTGATTGTGACTCTTTTATTTTGCAAAAAATTCAACGGTTTACCAAATATAGTCAAGAAACTACGAAATATCGTACAATCGGTTGCAAATTATGGTTCGGATCAATGCATTTAAATTGTGGAAAATAACAGGCTCGCAACAGCACACATTCTCGTTACCCACGACTCAACATGTTAACATATTTTGGACGTCTCTCTCAAGGCGGCACAAAATGACGAGAGCATACAGCAATAATTTTCACCTAGAAGAGAAGTCTGCCAAAATCTTCATTCAATATGCTGCGCAAGCGGCAAAAGTTACAAGTAAAACCACAAATTCGTCCTACACTAACATAATAAAATCTCAAATGGTAAATAAAATACTCTTGGATCCTCCTGGCTGTAAAATGGCACAACCAGATGATCTCACACTAGTAAAGGAGAAGTACTAGGAATATTTAAAGTCACTTTTCAAAATCCTCATTGCGTACACCGTAGAATAAAACAAGCAAAAAATCGACAAATGTAAGGAAAATTAAGGAATCATAAGCGACTAGCATGCATCCAATTAATGAGAATTCAAATTCCTAAGGTTGAACATTTGTGTAGAAGTGACTACAATTGCACATTAATTGGCCCATTACACAAATCACTCACTATTTTGCTTAATTTTAATTGCAAATCCAAATCCAAAAGATTACTAGGTAAAAACATGATGGGGTGGCAGAATCAGTGGAGTAGAATTTACTTAAAGCATGTTTCATTAGAAAGTTTGAGCTACATACGCGATCAGTGATCCAAGGACCTTCAATTGGATCTAAATTGCGGTGCAAGCACTGTTTTGAGATATTCACACGACGCTTAGCTGTTGGCGAGAATGGACACATGTCCTTGTTCATTATGCTCCATGTCGTTCAATAGCCCTACCATATTCCGAGCACACATGAAACGCAGTCATCGAGGTAGGCGCCTTTTGTATTTTGAAAGCAAGCTTTATGCACAAGATCTCCATTAAGTAAAAATAAACTAAGCGAAGTGATCAACCATATTGCCAATTTGACTTAAACAACATATCAGAATAAGCAAATCAAAGCTTTTATTTTTCATTATGCAAAGTCGTTTTTGAATCCAAAAAAATGCAAAACACCTTACGTTTGCTGTTTTAAATAATTTAGTAACCATCCCTGGATATTGCCCGGTTTGCTGGGCAACATTTAAAACCAGTGGTGCAGTTTTATTGCATCAAAAATGTAAGATAATGTGCAAAATATCCTCAATGTTTTGTCTTCGTCTTCTCATTTTTGCTATAATTATCACGAATTTTTGCTTCCGCCTGTAAGATAGTCTCGAATCACAATGCCTGCTCTCAGTGCACAGTACGTTTTGATCGGTTTAAATTACTTCTCAAGCACTATATTACCGACCACATTAGTGAGTTTGCAGATGCTTTACCCTAACTGCATGCAAATTTCCTTTTTGATCTACCATACTTTGTTTCTTAAGCAAACATCGAACAAATTCGTATTTCAATCTGTTGCAGTTCAGAATACAGCGGATTCAGGACTACGCTATTACTGTTCGGAATGCTATAAGGATTTTCCGGCATGGAATAAACTACAAGAGCACATGGGTTTACATCATTTTCGTATGTAATCCCCCATCTACCACCCTCCGTTCATAATGCCTGCTCATGTGTCTCCTTCGTATCTTTTGGTTTATAGGTGTGTGGTACGGGTTATTCGGATGAAATGAGACAAAACGCCTGTTTGTTAACAAAGCCGTAAGTTATTAATATTTCCTGTTGTCATTCAGCCTCCCATAATTTTAGGCAGCAACCCCTTTGCAACACAAGCTTAAAAATACTTAGTTTTTAACTACCTGTTTTAGCAGGCCGTGGATCTTAGTGCGCGAAATTCTTCATCATTCATTTAATAAATTGCCTATGATAGCGGTTGTTGATGTCCACAGAAACGATTCCAAATGGCAATAAGTGCTTACCGATCATTCGCCTATTTGAAAATGGATTGCGTTTTTAAGTGACAACACACATTAATCAGTTTCCATTTGTTTGCTTTTTAGCTTCCTTTGAGGCAGCATCAAACGTTCTCATGTGCCTCTCGCAAAAATAGAACACGGTTTCTTATAATGCTCTACAATGCTCTGTGAATATGGTAAAATGTTTGTCAGCTTTGATATAAGTCTGTGACACTTGCTTATTAGCATTCTGTTGTGATGGTAGGACTGCATTCTCAGGCCACCAACGTCTTTCAAGGCTTCTTAATTAATACACCTCATAAAACACGCAGGATAGTCTGGGACACTACTGGTGATGTCGTCATGGGAGGTAGATCTAACCATGTAGTAATTCTAAGGCTGTTGAATAATGACAGCGCTCCGATTTTTTAAAGTTACATTTTGCAGTACAAAGTATGAAATTGCACCTTAGAGTTAACTTCGTGATTGTCTCCAATATAACAGCTGTGTAGACTAATTTTAGTTCCCTGCCCTATGAAGAAGGGTATGAAATTCTATTGGATGAGGCCTAACAAAATAACCTTTAATGTTAATGGATAGGCAAGTGCATACCACCCCATTCCCTTTCCATATGCAAAGCTTGTCGAATTGAAGTTAGGGGAAACAAAGTGAAAGTATTTAAGGTGTTATTTTAATTTAGAGAACTATGTATAGCGAGAGAAGATTGGACTGTCAAATAATGCGGTCTATGTTAGTCGAAAAATGGTGCACCTTTTTGATGACATACCTAAATCTCTGCCTAAATGTAAGCACCCTGCTAAGAATGGACTGAATTCTTTCTAGAAAACAAGACAAATGACCATATAATTGCATGGTGTGGACCAAGCCTGCTTTCACGAGAACTTATTTAGATGCTCCATCTTCCACTTTCTCTTATTGAGACACAGGACAAATGGTGAAGGAAAGACGGCATCCAGCATCAAAGCGGATTTGAACTTCAAGCGGCAAATAGTCGGCCTTCCACTTAGAACGTTGATCATACCCAAGATCCCTTCTCACACTCACATCAAATGTCCTTCAGGAAGGATCACAGCTTAGTTGCATCTCAAGCAAAAATGAGGCGAAGTAGGTGAAGTGAATAGAACTGAGTGTTGAGAAGATGGCCCAAGTTGTATTTACTCAAGTGCATTGTAAGGTTTAACATGAACTTGCAGAACCGCTGGAAGACAACGGCAATAGCTGGAGCAACATGAATCAGAGGGTGGTAGTCCGAGAAGACATGACTTAGTGGAACAATTCACTTAATCTAAAGTGCATTTCACCTCTTCCCAATGCATGGAATTTCCCTCAACTTTATAAAAACTTACTCGTTTATTGCTAATTTAAGGATGGACGGAAATCTGAATAAAACTCGTGCACCTGTGTGACTTTTGGTCTGAATCCCAGGATTTGCATGTATTTGAAGCAGACGTCACCGCTGTGATCAACCAATGGTTGAGATTCAAACCATTCTGATTTCCATTGAAGTGCGTCCAATGCAAGGGCAAAAATAGGGGTTTGCTGTAAGATTCTGAAACAGGCTGCTTCGTTTCGTGCCAGCAGTGGGCGAATTCGTCGTTGTGTGGGAACGCAGTATGCCAGAGACTCACCAATGCATCATGCATTTGTAAACAAATGCAGAACGCAAAACTTGCCATAAGAAGTGATTGTCCAATTCGATTCCTGACTAGTGAGAATCAAAATATTCAAATCGCACTTACCTGTCATCCATAGTTTGGCGACTCTATAGTGCTGCGATGATCGCCAACACATTGTGACTTCGTTCTAACCAGCTTGCAGTAGTCTATTCGTGGTAGAATCTCGTTTCATGCTAATATAACAACGACAGGAGGGCAATCATTTTGTAAATACACTATTTGTGCATTATGAGTTCGCATTATGTGTTAACACTGTTAATAAAGAAGCTATTTTGATTCCTCCTCTCTGCAAGTGCATCGTTGACACACTCGAATTTATTTATGCAAGTAATAGGTGGATACTGCTTGCAAGTTTGCCTAATATACTATTATAGTTGCTGAAATATGAAAAGTAGTCAGTGATACACATGCCTTATTCATATGAGCCTTTATAATTTTTAACAACTTCTGAAGAAAAGTTGAATCTCAAAATGCTTCATTAAGACAATGAGGAATATTTGCAGCAGGCACTTAAACTGAAAAGGTCGGCGAAAATGTGTTAATGCCACAAAGCCATACCACATTGACGCAGTTCGCATTCACCAATTAATTTACTAAGTAATTCTTCATCAATGCGAAACATTACGTCAAAAGATTTACTTACTTTGCAGATATTCTGCGTTATTTATTATGTTGGCCGACAGATTTTGGATGTTGCATGGAACCTCGTTGCCATGATTGCCACAACTAGGGCTGCACCTACATTCGTGGCACTAGCATTGGTGGAATATTTGCTTAGAATACGTAAGTTAGTACTAGCTTTAGTAAAGTTGGTAGATTGAATTATAAATGGCGTATTCCCTGCATCAAACGGAGCACCATGGAACACTAACTCCAATCAGACAAATGAGGAAAAAGCAACAGGGTCAAGTTACTGAGAGTCACTTCTTCTACGCAGAATGCCATCAGCACAATGCAGAAGGACTTTTCCACTCCCTATTTTCACATACGAGGGGTCGAGGAAAGTCAGATGCAGGTGGCACACTGGCACCAGCTTCTAATTAGAAGAACATTTACCCTCATTCAAAGGCATTGAAAAATTCCAACGCGGTGTCCGTGGAGGAAGAGTGAATCCACTTTGTCGACATAGAGGAACGAGAGAGAGTCATTGTGCAGTAGTTGCAAATACATACGCACAAATGTTAGATGGCATCGGGTCAGTGAATGCCAGTGTGGAGTTTCGTCCTTGACCTCACTTCCATTTGTAGTCAACTTGGTGCACCAGCATGTGCTTCAATATTTGCTTGAGTACAATAGTCTGTTTGTGAACCTTGCTGCGAAAACTTAAAGTATTCTCTTTGCATGACTTTGGTGAATTTTAATGTTTTGCTGTGCATCGTTTCCGGATTCCAGAGCAAGTCATTTCCACTGATGCAATTAAGCGCCCTCTGCTCCCCTGAAGCGATGGGCAATACACAGTACAGTATGCACCCATAGACAAGCGGGTAGGTGTCTATGTGCTCAGTTTGTCT